AGATCAACAATATGTCATCTCGAAACATCAACTCTGAACTAAAAAAGAATATTTTACACCTAATTAACATGTCTTGCATATATAATCAATTTTGTAAGTTATCGGGTTGCCATGCGCATCTCGAAGTTTAGTGTAAAAATACAGCGTGCCAGAATACCCGTCAACTGTCTGGAAAAAAGATGGTAGGCTGTTTTCATGAATGTCCAAGCCACAGAGCGAATCTGTGGTTTTAAACATGGCGTCGATACGGTCAACTATAGGATATCTGTATAAGTTTCTGCTTTCTAATTTTGCCATTTCATTCGCCTGAATGTACAAGCGCTTACACGACCATGACTGGTCAATATGCAGCGGACCCTTGTATTTATTTTTAAAATATTTGGCATAAATAAACTCTCGGGACGACATTGCTAGAACGAAATAATAAATATATAATAAGTGTATAAAAATATAAAACTATGCTTAAATGTATAAATAAAGCAGGTTTTTTTTGTCTAGAGCCGGGGGGAAAAACGCATCTTAAATACATCAATTATAATTTATTTTTTACTTTTGCATAATAATGACAAGGCTGGCTAATGCCCAACAAAATTAAAAGGCTACTTTTAAATATCAAGTGCTTAAGTAAAAATTGGTATGTAAACCATTGTCACATGGATACTGGACAATCACGCAATAACGTTAATTAAATAAGAAAATATAGCGCAAAGTCGACCTTTTTTAATAAAATTGACACTTATTTCAAACAAAAATGAGTAATGTGATAGTGACATTATTTCTCTTTATTTCCCCCCCCCAAAAGTTGGTTTTATTCAAAACAAACGTGTGCCTAAAATCCCAACCTTACTCTCAAAAAAATATACAGCACTTGAAGTTGAGTTTGTTAATAAAGTATGCAGCATAATGGTTGTATTGTTATACTTTAGCTGCAAGACTTTGCAGCACATAATTCATAAAAGGTAAGCTGCTTAAATTTGAGTGTTGAAAAGTGTTTATTTCTGCTTTCAAGTCAATAAATAACATACCGCTTGATACATTAACCATATCGCGCGTACACTGTTATTTTTAGATGTATAGCGCAAAACCTTGCATATATAAAATTATACATAGGTTGCTTGTTTTGTATTTACGTCAAAATTTTGAAATAAAAACTAATATTTATTAATTCCAATACATGCTCCGTATTAAAGCGCTTATTTTGGGGTTTGTAGTTTGTTTAGACAAAAAATATCTAATGCCAGTTGGTCAATTTAGCTGTTCCTTCCGCCCTGTGTGGGGGTCGAACCCACGGCATTTTGGTTAAAATCCGAACGCTCTAAACCAACTGAGCTAACAAGGCAAACTGGTCTGAACTAGGCGTTATCGCTGAAAATAATTTAATAGTAGGGAGGTTGGTCGTACACCAATTCTTTTTAACAAAATAGTGAATAAATCTTGGCACTTTTGAATTGCTTCTCTATGAAGACCTAAAGTGCCATGAGTTAAATAGTTAGATAGCCAAATAGTAAAATAGTAAAATATTTAAATATATATACATTATAATTAAATCAACTAACATCAATTCGCTTTTAAAAATGCTTGTTAAGGTCCGAGTAATAGAAAAAATAAATGGTTTATTGAAATAATTGTTGAAAGAAACCCCGTCAAGCACACTTGTAGTCTATCTGGAAACAATTAGTTATATTTAGTAGATTAGATGTTAAAAACCCATATCGGTAGTAGAAAAATCAGTCGCGCGCTTTAAAAATACAAATGAAATTATTTTTAGCTTGTGAATCGACTCAAGATAAAAACACAAAGAACATATAATTAAATAATAATAAAGACCCCATGCTCTCAATTGTGATCAATCGGTTCTTTGTTTTGGAAGTGTTTTTAGTTAAGTATTGGCATATGATGCAATAGTGACAATGTCAATATTATCGACAATTATATAGCAAGTGTACATGTATTTGCGGTAAAAAAATGTATACTTTTTTTACTTATCAGTAGCAATAAAAAAGGAATATATTATGTACAGGAATCTAAAAGCATATGAATATGCAGGAATACATCATGGCAAAAAAGGAAAATTATAACAGTTCCTTCATCTCTGTAGCTCGCATGTTGTTATACTTTGCTTTGCATTGAGCGCTTGTCCTTGTACCAACATATCGCGCGCACTCAGCCCAATTCTTGCGGCCCTCTACACAATCCAAATACTGCTGTAACCGCTGTGTTTCCTGTGTGAGCCACTTTTTGTTTTGCTCTTCATACTGAAAAGGCACAAGCTTATCATTAAGCCTGGGTGATGAGAAAGTGGTGGAATATTGTGTGGGTTCGGACGATTTTGATTTATGAGCGTTGTTGTTTGCCATACATTGAATGATGGCATTCTGTATGTCTTCCTCAATACACAGTGGGTGCTCGGCAAGGACGACTGCTTTGATTGCGGCTACGCTAAAGTAGCTGCCGTTTCTGTTGACAATTTCCTGAATTGAATCTATTTCTTCCTGGGACAGTTCGGCAACCATGCTGTCATACACAGGGCTCTTCTCAAATGAGGATGGGCCGTAGAACATTGTTGAGTGCCGTTAATATTTGGTAAGGCTGGCGTTATAGATGGGTTGCTGAACGGCTGAACGGCTGAACGGCTGAACGGCTGAACGGCTGAACGGCTGAAAGAACAAAAAGATGAAATTAGAGCTCAAAAATAAAATTGAAGGAAAAAGAAAAACCTTGGCATCGAAGGGAGTGAGTTTATATATAAATATAATGGGGGAACGAGCAAACGCACAAATTGTTCAATTATCACAGAAAAATAAATGGGTGCGTTCATCCTTCGGATTTCCTTCCCGCAGAGCAATTAATACGGCCGAAAAAGCTGTACAAAAAATATATTCGAAAATTGACTTGCGCATTTTCCTTCCAGCCTTTTTGGGCTATTTTGCGTTTTGATAGGAGTGTTCGTTCAATTTTAATAATGTAAATCAGCAGCAGCAACATTTTTCGACATTGTTTTTTGAAAATTTGATTTACAGACTTAAACTGCTCTTACTAAAATGAACAAAGGCTTTGTTTAAGGTGCTGACTTAGAGAAGAAACAAGAAAAGAGTAAAAAATAAACGACTGAACAAATTTTCAGAAAAATACAAAGGAAAACATTATTTTATCAAAGCCCTGTTTTTTATACCTTATAAAGAGCTGCTCGTTTTTTTGTGACAAGCTGTGCCCACTATTATTGGTTGCACATTTTTTATTTTTTATATTACTTTTTCTTCCCTTCGCTCGTGCTCATGTTTATATCCTTTCTACTCTACTCCCCTATTTTGGAGTATTTCAATGCGCCAGACTTTTAAGAAAATATTGGATTATCAGTTGAAGCATTTATGCATTTATATGGAAGGCATATTTTTTTTAAAAATATAATACAGCTGTCGAATTAATTGTTAGATTCGCCAACATTCACTGATAGACATGCAATTGGCACAAGCATTTTCTGTTGCAATGGTTGTTGTTTTTTTGCTGTGTTTTAACTGAAAAATAAACCAACTCCGACAACACCAACATCAATAACCTTTTTCATTTTTTATGCGTTAAGTGGTGACGACCGAACAAGTTCAAAGGTTGAATTGGATGTGGGAGGTGCATTAATGTTTGGCATATCTGAATGTGCTGATTGACGCGGCGAAACAAAGGTTTTCTTACAAAATTAACAGATAAACCCCAAAATGCCATTATCAAGCTGTTTTGAGAAAGAAAAAACCAGTTTCCCAATGGACGTGGTCAATCATCATTAGTAAATCACTCATGTCTTTTGTGTGAGTTTTCTATGTGGAATCGGTGGAATGGCAAATCAGCTGGGAAAAAAGGTTTATTCTGTAGCGAAGGTTATTTCATGCTTGGCAGTGCATAACTGATTTTGAAAAATAAAGTCGTTTGTTTACACTTGGCGGTTGGGGAAACATATCCAGATAATAATACTATTATGACATCCCCACTTTTTTACCAGCTGAATTAGTTCTGACAATAATGGTCACACAAATAAAAACCTGGTAAAACCTGTTCTCCTTTTTTACTTTCCTACTTTCTAATTTTAACTGTAGGATCCATGAGCGCACAAAGTAGTTTGGATCTACCATGTATTTTCTACTTGTCTTTCAAACGAACAAAAGAAGTACTAATCACTTTTTTCTTTCTTGGTTTGTTGCTTTGTGTGATAAAAAACTAAATTGCTTTTAAAAATGAGACGTTGACATTAATGGCAACGAGTTTTAGAGAGCGTCAATGAGAGAAGGAGTGCGTAATAAAAATTGAATACCGCGGATTGCTTTATAACAGTCAAAGTTGAAGGAGCTACTAAGCCAAAAACCCCAGAGTGTGAGCATGTGGTGCCAAGTCCGAAATTTGTATGAAAGTGTAAAAATTGGCATTGCCGCATCCCTGCATACAAATATACACAGAACTACTTTGGTTGCGGACAGAAAGCATAATAAAAATCTGAAAGGAATGGGTACCCATGTGCCACTTAGTACTTTTGCATATTATAAAATTGGTTATTTTTCGTTTTTTTCTTTAATTTTTTGTTGCTTTCAAAAAAGAATAGAAAAGTAGATGTTGAGCGTGGGTGATAGAAAGGGTGAGAGGAGGGGCAGCGGAATCTGCACTTGGCTCTCTTTTTTATAATGCAGTGCATAAATCCCTTTATAAAAAAGAGATTAAAAAGCGCAAAAGGGGCAGTGCATTTTATAAAGCACTATTTTTCTGCACTCTATTGTTTTGCAGAATGAACATAAAATAAATAGAAAAACTAAGTGTTTTTAGTCGCAATCCTACCTCACCTTTCTTTTTATTTTATCATTCTTTTCTAGAGAACAGTGGCAGTTTTATTTGCTTTGAAATAAAAAGTAGCAATAATGGACAAAGGCCATGTGCACACTGTCAGTTTTTCTAATTTTTTGTTTTGTTAGCTGGCCTTGTTGGTGAGTATAAGAATACGGCTATTTGTCCTCCGAGGAAGAGCAGAACTACTTTTTCTATTTAGTTTTCTCATCCATTCATATTCACTATTGCATTAAATTTTATCTCAACATATTTGTATACTATTTTGTACCAGCTACACAACACAACACAGCATAACTTAGCAAAACAAATCATTTTCTGTACTTTTATTTTAATTAGACTTGTTACCAGTTCATCTATTTGGTTTACTCACATTCGCATTATATTTTCGCGCACAAGCAAGCAGCCACAACATTGCTCCAGTCAGTCTGACAACAAAAAATCACAAACACAGCTCCACACATACATAAAAGGTTCATATTCTTTTGACAAGTACAATCAATTCTGTTAGTTTCCCCATATACCCCCCACATCAATGTCGTACTCATTCATGAAGCGTTACAACCGCCTATGCATGCGGCCCGCCGGCGTCCGCAACAGGCACAGCCTGACTGTAGACACGCGGTTCGTCATTGCACACACAGATTTTGAGTCGCAATACAATGGTATCTTGTCCATCCGCAAGGGCGATATAATCCGGGTCAAGCAAGGCGGCGACGGTCATCCTAAATGGTGGCTGGGGACAGTGATTAGAAGTTATGAGAATACAAAGGGCCATGGTTATTTCTTCCCCGTCCTTACTGAGCAGTACAACTTCATGGATAATAGGATTGCGTCACGTATTCCAATGGCTCTGCTGGATATCCATGGACATTTCCGCAAGTACGACAAGAAGCGTGTGCGCACCAAGGCCTAAGTAATATTAAAATTAAAGCGGTTGTCTATTTTATAGTTTTCTCTCAATATTGTAACAATATGTACTCCAATAAAGTATTTTTTCATATCAACAATTTTTTTATTTTTTTGTAAAAAAGATATACAAACATTACATTTTTTCTTTCGAAAATAAGCTCAAAAACATTTAAGCCTTGTAGAAATCCTGAGTCCAGTACAGACCGGCCTGGCCAAAACCAACATGGGTGTAGTCACCAACCATGTTAACATAATGGCCGGAGCTCTTGGTCCACGCGCTCATAACGCTAGCAACATCCTGCTGGTTCCAGGCAATATTTTCAGCAGCGCCCTTCCAGTCAATATGGCGAGAAGAAAGACGAGTGCCAAGGGTGCCGTTAGGGTCGCTGTGGGTCATCGAGTGAATGGAGTTCTCGTACTCGGAGTGCGACTGTGCAACGGTGTTCAGGGTAGTGTCCATAATCAAAGCACTCTTTCCGGCAGATGCACGCACGGCGTTAATCTTGGCCAGCATATCGGTTCTCCAGTCGTTGGACACGGGAGCAGTGTAGGTGGGCTCGGGGGCAGTGTGAGTAGGCTTGAAGGCGGTGGTGTAGGCGGCAGCCACGGTGGTCTTGGCAGCGTGAGCCACGGGGGCAGCCTGGGTGGTTGCGTAGGTGGGCTTGGCAGCAATGGCGGGGACCGAGGAAGTGGGCTTGACGGCGGCAACGGCAGTGGCATAGACGGTCTCGTAAACGGTCACAATAACGAGGTTGCGGGGAGCCAGGGCCTCAGCGACAACAGGCTGAGCGCTAGCAAAAGCACCAAAAAGGGAAGCAAGGAAAAGGGCAGAAGCAAACTTGACCATTTTTAAAAACAGGAAAAAAAGTATTTAAGAAAGGATTTCGTTAAAAGTGAAAAGTTGTACGTTAAAAAAGCTTAATCTGGTCAACAGAATAAACTATACTTGCTGATATTTGTTTTAAAAACGTAAAAAGGAGAGGAGGAAACAAGAAAAAATGAACAAAAGATATTGAGGAAGACAGAATTTTGGTCGACCTTTTATAACAAAAAGTTTGCAAGGTTTTCGTTCTGCTGTATTTTTTCACATTCCCAAAGGTCTTATTTTTCTTCTCTCCCCCTTTGGGCCATGTGTTCTCACTCGGGACCATTGTGTGCTAGCACAAACGGCAACAAACAAAAGGGTGAAAATTTTGAACAGTATATCCGCTTCAGTTTTGGTGAACAATATGGATCTACGATTATTTTAACTATTATCTAGTAAGAAAACAAAGGGAGAAAGGGGGGGGGAAGATGTAGTGCATAAAATTTGGGGGAGTCAAAATTGGGTTGAGGAATGTCCATTTTCCTTGTCCTGCAATATGAACAAAGTTAATATCATCCAATAATATAATTTCAATACACTATTAACATTTTATGTGGCAAAAGATATTGAGTAAATTGCTCACAAAAACGTGTTAAATTTTTTAGTTTTTACTCACAGTTTGTCTTGTTTCTCGTTGGCTGGTAAAAATTGGTGCTATATTTTCGCAAACAGACGAGTCTCAATAAAGTTTGTAGCAGTGATTGGACCAATGAACGAGTGAAACCGATTATTTGGGGATTGGTAAAAAAAGTTTTCACATTCACATACACACACACTGTGAGGAGATTGTCTGACAACGGACTGTTTGTACCGTCCCATCCGGAATTCAGCATTTTCTCAATATAACAAAATAATGCTATTTGACCAATCACCTATTTTGCCCACAGTCAAGCGTAAGCTTTTTTCATGTTCACTAGCAAAGTGAGAAAAGTGAAAGGTTGAGAAAATACGGAACCTACAAGATTAAATACTGAAAAGAAATACCTTATTAAAAACGTAGAATATTGATATCACTCTACTGGGCTGGCTCAATAGTCATATTGCGTGATTGTACCCAATTGCAATATGCGCCTAATAACCGATGGAGTTCCTGATATAATCGCACTCACTGAACAATGTTTAATGGAAATATAATAGGCCGATAATTGACCAAGAGTAAACGATTAGTGATATGTTATTTGAAATTAATTTCACAATAATTATATGACTTAATTTTGTTGGCTATTTTGTTTCTTTGGCTTGGTGATAACACAGTGGTTTAGGATGGATCCATACAAACACAATTTAGAAATCTTCATTATTCAAAAACTTGGAAACGAGATAAAATAGATCCATTGAGCGAAATATAAAACAAGCAAAAAATAAAAAATAATGATTAAGTGTAATGAGATTCGGACTAGCTATAATATATATTAATGAAAATGAGACTACAGAAAGAGCTGAAGAGCTCACTATTCAGAATTCGCCGTACGCGTAAAATATCATAAACATATTTTACACGTCTGCGCTGTCACGTGACTCGGCCCCATTTCTGATGTCACATTAAGGCTGATTATCTACTATGCCACCTTACCCATCATGGGCTCTATTGAGGAACTTGAATACATGCCTCTATAAGAAAAAATATTCTAGGGGTGGGGGGCAGTGTGGTTTGAAATTACCCAAATCTGGGCCTAATTGCCTAGCGGTGGAAGTGTCCACTAGGGTGTTTGTAAAATTAAACCCGGGCACTCGATCTGCCGTCCTAATTTCTGTCATCCATGGCCACTTCGGCAGGCCATTGTCTTCAGCTTATCGCGGATTTGGTATTCTGGATGTTTGTTAAGATTAGAGTTCTAATCAACAATCGGCATTTCTCAGACAGCAAGGATCCCTGCATTTCCCATTCGATTTGCAGGCCACAGTGTCCCTTGTACCAGTCATTCTGTTTGCCTACAATCTCGTTTAAAGACACCATTTCTTGTTTTGCGCGCTTCCCTTGGAGTTTGTTGACCAGCATTGTGTACCTGCCCTCTGTCAGCTCCTGCCATCCGTGCCTCATATTCAGGTCCAGCTTCTTGTCCTGGTAGTAAGCGCCCACACGTTTCTTGAGATCCTCCAATATGACATCTGTCGATCCTGGATATACCCGGAGTCTGCTGACCATCTCAACCACAAGATCTGCGGCTGGGTCCAATTTATTAGGAATGAGTAATGAAAAGTTCCAACATGGCTTATAATTGTTGAAATATCTACGTTCTGTGAACGAGATATAAACAATATAAACAATATAATACTATGTATTTAATAAGGGGTATACTATGAGTGCTATGCACTGGAGAGGTAAGAGAGAGTAATCATGTGGTATGTGTCACTGTGTGACTAAAAGGATAGGCAATGTAGTGTAAGCATGCCTGGCTAAATCCAGCTCTGGAAGGTCGACAAAAACAATGAAGGCTGGTTGATCAGTTGATCCCAATACATTTATAACTTGAAACAGGGTAGAATCAGTAGTGTGGTTATGCTTACTATTAATAGTGGTGTTAATAAATGCATTGAAAAATTAATTAAACACAAAAATGAATGTGGTTTTTTCTAGAACCTTGGTCCGTTACCTTAGTATTTAATACAATTCGAGACAAGCGAGTATGGCCGTGTTGTTTGTTGTAAAAAAGCAACGTACAGAGGCGACTGGCAAAGACGGCGCACAATGTATTCCTGTTTGATGCCACCAGTGTTCAAAATTGGCTGAATGCATGAGTTGTCCAAAAGGGGATCGATGATAACAGTAGTTAATCCTGCTTGTCGTCCTCTATAAAAATGTGGGTCTAAATCGATATATTCAAGTCTTAAAAATTACTTACTAAACTGAAAAAGGGGGCAGCGCTGTGTGGGAAGCGCTGTAAACATCATGGTGTTCCTTGATGTCAGCCAGCAATAACAGAAATGTGTATAGTGGCCATGAGGGCGATCTTGATTCTTAAAAAGGGAGGATAGTGGCTTGAAATGTGTGTTGGGCACCACACTGCTGCGGTTACATAGTAATTTACTCATCAAGTGTAAATTTAAACTTCTAAAAACATATTCCAAGTGCACTAACATCAAATTAAATATTTATTATATTATTGTTATTACTGTTATTAAAAGTTGTACCCAATTCTGTCTTATTATAACTTTTTACCTAAATTATTTAAATTATTTTTTATATGATTTAATTGTTTTGAAGCTCTTTTTTTGTAGTATGGCATGTAACATGAATTATTAATTTACTATCTTTGTTAAACGTGGTTGGTGCATTAACTTGGCACAGATCATCATAAAAATCTGTTGAATATTCACAATTAGCTTTATAATTTAAAACCATAGTCAGTTAATATAAATCTAATATATAAATCAGAATTATAAATAGTGTTGCACAGACTGAAGATATGGAAGTGGATGTTGAGGTTGAGAATCATGAAACACGTTTCCACCTGCATGCCAATTGATAAGATGCTAATTGGATTATCCAAGAGTAAATTAGGGAGGCATAATAATGATGCCCAGATATGCTCCCCATTTTGCAATGCACACGCGTGAGTGCATACACACAAAAACCACAACACTGACTTGCCAAGCTACCAGTCTGCTCACAGAAGAACCAGTTTTTGCCAACATAGTGCACAATTGGCAATGTACACAACAAAAGCGACGAAGCACATATATAAAACGAGGCCGGCCCTAGTAATATTTTAGAAACATTAGTAATAAAACCCTTTATAAAATCACCCCTACTTTTCTAACACTAGATAACTAGTTCTTTTTACACTCTCTCTTACATAAAAATAGCTAGTGTCAATTGTAAATATATGTTAAAATCTGGCTAATAATTTGATAAATAATTGTTTGATAATATAAACTGTTGATAATGCAACATATGCATTTATTTATAGTTTTTATTTTAAGCTATTAAATAATTTTTTACAATTATCAGCATTGCCCACATTGCTCTATTTGCCTTGGTGCTTGCTTAATGCTGCTCCGCTGCTGCCTTTGTACTTTCTTGGCGCTGCTTCTTATGACGTATTTTGCGCTGCTTTAATGTTTTATGGGGTGCTGATTTGGCACTGCTTTTTATAATGTTTGTTGCACTGCTTTACTGCTCGCACCTTGTTTTATTTTTAGCTTTTCGGTGATGTTAATTTCTTAATTCATTTAACAAAACCCCAAATTAACCATTTTTATGTATAAGAACTGCTTTTGAACATTTAATTTGTTAAATTTAATTGTAATTTTTAGACCATCCACTTGATATATTTATCAATGAACGATTTTACTAATTG